GCATGTCTGCATCCCCACTTGTGACTATATATGCTCCCTACCGCAGCTTGCTCGTCAGCACTACATGCCTCTCCGCTCATTTAATTCCCCCGAGCAAAATCTGAAAATCTGTCAATGACTTAGAATGGAATTACGTCACAAAAACCTTATCCAATAGCATTCCCTTATTTGTACAGATTATGCACGTGTAGTATTTGTAAAATTTCGACTTTTTCAAATTTCCAAATGTTTGGGTAGATAAAAAGTAAGCTATTTACCGTTTAATTCGGGGGGTTTCTTTCTATTATATGAAACAAATAGACATGCAGTACTATTTTTTGTTCTTCCTACATTAATGACATCATGCTGTGCATCTATAACTGAACAGACAACGGCAAAATCTTATCTATCGACTATTTGTTAAACGTACTATTTAGGGGTGCACCGGATTCCAAATCCGGCTGGAATTCCGGCCGGATTTAACAAATTTTCCGGCATCCGGCTGGATTTGGAGAAAATCCGGCCGGATTTAAATTTCTGTTTTCGCCTTAAAAAATTCACCAAGAATGGGATAAACCATCAATTTGGCCGCTTTAAAGTTTAAAAACACTTATATTATTATAAAATATTAAGATATAAACAAAAAAATATTTAAAAAAGGTTTTAAACACAATCAAAAATCTAAACTGACACTAACTAAAAATAGTAAAAAACATAAACCGCCATTTTGAATACTGATTTATCCCCAATTGTCCCCATTACCGGTTGATCTCAAATCCGGCCGGAAATTTTGTCCAAATCTGGTAAATCCGGTTCCGGGCGGATTTGAGAATTCCAAATCTGGTGCACCCCTAGTACTATCGAGTACCACAAATCTCTGTCAGAATTCCCATCGAATTTTTTTTGTAAATGAGATTTTTTACAATTATGAATTTTTCTTTAGTATTTAACAATAGGTGCATTAACCCATTGACTGCCAGCTATTGAGCTATACTCTCCCCTTGACAAGTAAAATTGTCTGCCATTAGACAGAGTAAAGTAATCAACTACTATTAATAAGGCTGCAGAAATAAAGATGGACTTTGGCAATTTTTATGTTAATTGTTTCAAGCAATTAATTATTCATGAACCAAAAACCCATGGTTCAAATTAGTGGAGAAAAAATGATGTGCAATTTTTTTCAAAAAATGTGGCTCTTTCCTGTTGTTATTGTAATTTGTAACAGTCAGAGTTATGGAAACTTATTTGGATGGAACAGGGTATAATACTTATGGTACGCCGTACCGATAACCAGTACAGTACCCAGAAGTGGGATACTGGATTCTCAGCCTCAGGGGGATACTAATCTTTGAATCCTGGTATCCAGGGTTGGTAATTATTAAGATCATCTTCATATTTATCCAGGAACTGGATGTTTTTCAGTGGGGTCCAGGTTGGTTACACAAACCCTGGGGCCGAGGTTGTATAAAAAAGTGATTAAAGTTAACTATAGTTAGTGGAAACGTCATCCAATAAGAAGCGCATATTTGAGAGTTAATCACTATTTAACTACAAAATAGTGTTAAAAAGTGATTATATAAAGAGTTTTATACAACCGGCCCCTGGTGCTTCCAAAATCACAGCCATATTAATATTTTAATAGTCCGCATGTACATCAGTACATAGGGAATATATATGAATTTTGCTAAGCTTGATAAGGTTTATACAATATGATTTTATCATATTGCTAAATTAATAGAATACTTTTATTATAATACCTTTATCAGAATCGAGCTTCATGTTTTCGTATAGACTGCCATTACCTGAACCGATTACAGTAATACAGCTATAGTGATGTCTCTGATGAACATTTGATCTCGCATTTGATGTATAAATTTAGAGACATTGTTTGACATCGAACTTCCATTTCATAACGCCAAACCAAAACTTGAAATATTACAGTAAATAAAAAAGCAAACGAAATTTAAGCTATAAACGATGTTGATATATCCAGACAAATAATTTCCAGAAGACCAGACCGTGGTCATATATATATCACTCCTCAAAATTTGGCTAATTTTTATACCAAATTAATTTTCCCCCTCACCCCCCGGTTTGCAAAGCGCATGAGGTGACAATACACACAACACCATGAAGTCGCCGGGGGGAGGATACTAATCAAATTTCTAATATGTTGATCATGGGTAAATATTTTGTAACAAATTTAATTAATACACAATCTTTCACAAAAACTATGGGACACGTGTTGTAATTTCACATAATTTGAAAGGTGTTGTACCCCCCGTTCCATGTTGGGCTAACAACAATCTGATGTCTGTTTGCGATACTAGTACATTTAAACGGGGGGAGGGAGGGGGAGGGAGGGTGGGTGGGGAAAATATTATCAAGAAGTGGTACGATACATTTCAGATCTGCATGCATCTGAAACTAGATTGTCCAGAATGTATATTAATTTGTCAAAGATTGTAGCACGGATAGTGGGTTTTGAATGGTAGAGAATTTCATTGATCGCTGTTAGCATCTCATTACACAAGATACCTTTCAAACACGAATTTTTACCAAAAAATTACTGAATTGTTAAAATCTCATTACCAATTTTCCCCCCAAAATTGACAAAATTTTACCAAAAGTATTATACAATTACTTTATGGTTTCCGTGTTTGGATGGCCTGATCCAAACACGCGGGAATGTTGCGAGAGTTAAGAAAAGCGCGCGAAAGCACGAGCCGAAGGCGAGTGATTTTGCGCGCTTTTCTTAACTCGAGCAACATTCCCAAGTGTTTGGATCAGGTCATCCTAACAGGGAAACCATAAAGTAATTGTTTTATAAAATAACAACAACACGGTAGTCTTCCGTGTTTGGATGGCCTGATCCAAACACGGCTTTCGACCAATCAGAATACGCGTTATATACATGTTATTTTATAAAATACTTTACCAAATGGCCAGACAGGGATTTGGGAATTCCTTTGCAAGAAGCCCTGAAATTCCTTGTTTTTCCAAAAAATTCCTTTATAATTTTTTAAATTGGCACTTTTTTTGCCATACATCCTGTTATATCTTCAAAACATTTCTGATATTTAATTAATAATATGGCTAGGTTTTAGTTATATTGTATAAAGTAGTTATTCCTAATTACAATCAACTTTATAAAAGGGGGGATCATAGAGGGGGCAGCATGGAGTCCTACTCTGGGGACTTGTACCTTTGGCACTCGACACTTGTGCCTTCGCATCATCATTTCTAAAGCCACAGGACCAGGTCCATACAGATCTACGTAGCATAGTTCCGAGGACGGTGCCTTCGACGCTACCCCTGCAGATCCTCATAAACATTTTTAGTTTTCCCAGAATCTGTACACATGCACCCTTTTTGTGGGGCAAAGTGAGTCTGCACACCCCTAATGTTTACACCCAAGTTATAGTCCTTGATCCAACTATCTGTCCACGCATCTAGTAAACCCATTAAGTTGCAATGCACCCTACCATAGTCTATCAAGATATGATCGTCTGGAAACTAAACAGAAGTGTTTGTTAAATGTTTTTGTTTGAGTGTTAATTTGTGCACGATCACAGTGATTGAGCTCATTGTATTTTCGTACAATAGACAATTCCCATTATAGACTAATTTTAAAACTAGGCAAGGAGACTCGAATAAATCACCACAGCTAGAAAGAGCAAACTAAAATTAGTAAATTTTCAAAGTTTGGTTGTGAAATGTTGTAAAATGCGGAAAATATAGCCTTGCAAAGTTCACATATTTTATATACTTTTGTATTACTTGCGGAAATTCCTACCACATTCCTGCCACATTTAGGCCGAAAATGTCGCACGCAATACAAAAGTATACAAAATTTGCAAACTTTGCAAGGCTATATTTTCCACATTTTAGAACATTTCGCAACCAAATTTTGTAATTTTACTAATTTTAGTACGCTCTTTCTAGCTGTGGTGATTTAACTTGCATCTCCTTGCCTAGTTTTAAAATTAGTCTATAATGGGAATTGTCTATTAAGTAACCGTCCAATAGGGATAGCTGGGTAGGGGTGCACCCGAACCAATTTTTTAAGTCTCGGCTGCAACTGGGAGAAAGTTAGTTCCGGCAAGAACCGATTTATTAATTAAGTCATATATAGTCATATGTTACTTTGTCTGCTGCTAGACACTTCAAGTCATCAAGAAGCGAGCTCGCAAATGTTAGAATAAAGATTGACAAACATACATCATAATGAAGTGTTAATAGTGTGTCATTTTCCTTGTGTAGTCCAAATTTCTTGTTAGACACAAAAACGTTTGATATATTTCTATCTCTCTGAAAACGACAGATTTCCTGTTCTCGCCATGCTTTTTTTATTAGTTTCGGCCAGAACTGGAACTCTCAAAAATGGGGGTTCCGGTGCACCCCTATAGCCGAGATGAAACTTGCAGCCACAATGAATAATATTTAATGAAGTTGAGGCAATGGATTTGTGCATAGTGATCAGGTACAATTCAACATCAAACATGGGCGGATTTACTGGGGGGCGGGGTAAACCCCCCTAGAATCTCTCTAACCCCTCTAATAAAGTGTTCAACCCCACCAAAATTTTGCTCACCCATCCTATTTTGTGTGAAAGGCTTTAACCCAAATACCTAACCCCTGCCGAAGGTCACTGAGTGGTGCCCCTTGCACCCCACCAGAAATTTTTCTACCCCTCCTTTTAAATAAACGAAAATCCACCCTTGACATCAAACATAGGTCTTCTATTTTGTGGCTTTGAAGTTTGCCGAGACTCCAGACCATCATATCTAATAGACTATGGCCCTACTTTGTTCTAATTTCACTTTGTCTAATGCCAGACGATTTTACTCGTCAACAGGAGAGCGCTGCCACTTAATTGGTGGGTTAGCCTGTGTAACTGTCATTTCATTTTTTAAGGTTTTGAGGATTTCTCATTATCCAGGAATTTTCAAAATATCCTCAAAACCAAAAAATACAATGACTGCTACACAGGCTACTTAATAGATTAACCACCTTCACAATCATTTACGTCTTGTAACACAACACATCACACCGTCACGAGGAGTTAAAGTAAGCCTTGCCTCCATCCTGTCAGTCTGACCAGGCAATAGGGTGAATTGAAATTTTTGCAACAACTTGGCAAGGATGACTTTCGACTCGAACTTTGCAAAAGTCTGTCCAACACAATTACGAGGGCCGATGGAAAAGGGGAAGTGCGTCATACTAAAGTTTGGGATGTTTTTGACATTGGCAAATCTCTCTGGATCGAACACCTCAGGATTCTTCCAAATTTCCGGGTTCATAGAAAAGAATAGCTGTAGACTGTTAATTCCAATTCCTTTGGGAATATAATACTCTCCAACCGTAAGACCTTTGACCAAATGTCTTGAAGGTCCAGGAGCTATAGGATGTTTTCTTAAACTTTCTTCTAAAACTTGACCGAGATACGTTAGTTTCGCCAAATCATCAAACTCGACATAATCACGCTCGCCGAGCACTTCATTAACCTCCTGAAGAATCTTCGCTTCGACATGGGGATTACTGATGATCTCGTAGAGGGTAAAGGACAATGAATCTGCAGTCGTTTGTTGACCACCAACAAAAACGGTTAAAAATTCATCAGCTATGTCATCCATTGACAAACTACTATTAACCAAAAGACTCAATAAGTCATCAGGAACAGCTTTACTGTCAGCCATATCTTTTTTCCGGGCGGTGACACAATCATGCGCAAATTTACGGAGAAATCTCACGGCGTCAAGTTGCTTTTTTTTTGTAGCATTCTGAAACAGCTTGAACTGATATATTGCTAGCATCGTGGAGTTGAGTGGCATGTTCATGTTGTCTTGCACCGCCATTAGCGAGATTCGTATTGCTTGTGGAAATGGTGAATCGGGATGCTCAATTGCATGGGTATTAATATTAAATGCCACCTGACTTATAGCCTCCAAAGTGACTTTGGAAAACTCAGACACCATACTGGTCGGCTTTTCTCCATCGGCAACTGTACCAATGCGGGTCAAAAATCTATTGCAAACATTGTTGAAATTATTCATGAAACCTCGCAGACACTTTCGATGAAAAGCAGGTTCGATAAGTTGTCGTCGCTTGTGCCACAGGGCTTCATCTGTATTGGCCACAAGTCCATACCCCGATCCCCTCTCACCATAAATAAAACCAATTTTATGGTACAAAAAATCACCCTTACACAAGCTCTTATGATTGTTTATAAAAACATGTCGCAAATAGCTAGAATCCCCCAGAAAGACTATAGCCCTTTGCATGAAAAACATAATAAAAATTGGACCATATTCAAACCGTTTTTCCACCAGAAATTCACCAACGGTCCTGCCAGTTGCAGCTTTGTATTCCCAATAATCTGGCAGATTTCCCAAAATGAAACTCGAGCGAGGTGGCCCGGGTATATGTGCTGTAATACTGTGCAAGTAATGTAAATATGCACAGGCACATAGAAAACAGCCAAAACAAGCGAGCAAAATTGTCGTAAGAATGTAGAAAATATAAACTAGTACTGTGACCGCCATTTTGAAATATGCTCACTCTGTTTAGTATTAATAGTTATTGTTTAATATTCTTGTTATTGTGAATATTATGGCCGGTTAATAATTGTTTCATTGTTCAATGGTCATATGACACTTCCGCAAATCGATTTTATAAAACAGACTCTATATATTGTAAAGTGGTCAACAAATAATGCCCAAATACAAACTGATTCGCAATATTGTTGGACTTACATGTTTAGAGGCTTAGATAAGATATACTTCCCTTCCTGGCAGCAAAATCCAAAAGAAAAATTTACTGTGCAAGTCAAATATAAACTTCCTGAATATGTAGATTTCGGAGAACGTGAAAGTACGCGGAAAACAGGCGTGCTTTATGAATTATGTCCATAATTTTTGTTTTTGGCAACCTTTATATATAGCCACGGACCGTGGCCGAAAACAGACGTACTTTATACCCACAAACCGTGGCTACAAGGTATGCCCAAAACAGGCGAACTTTATAGCCATAAACCGTGGCTACAAGGTATGCCCAAAACAGGCGAACTTTATAGCCATAAACCGTGGCTACAAGGTATGCCCAAAACAGGCGAACTTTATAGCCATAAACCGTGGCTACAAGGTATGCCAAAAACAGGCGAACTTTATAGCCATAAACCGTGGCTACAAGGTATGTCCAAAACAGGCGAACTTTATAGCCATAAACCGTGGCTACAAGGTATGCCCAAAACAGGCGAACTTTATAGCCATAAACCGTGGCTACAAGGTATGTCCAAAACAGGCGAACTTTATAGCCATAAACCGTGGCTACAAGGTATGTCCAAAACAGGCGAACTTTATAGCCATAAACCGTGGCTACAAGGTATGCCCAAAACAGGCGAACTTTATAGCCATAAACCGTGGCTACAAGGTATGCCCAAAACAGGCGAACTTTATAGCCATAAACCGTGGCTACAAGGTATGTCCAAAACAGGCGAACTTTATAGCCATAAACCGTGGCTACAAGGTATGCCCAAAACAGGCGAACTTTATAGCCATAAACCGTGGCTACAAGGTATGCCAAAAACAGGCGAACTTTATAGCCATAAACCGTGGCTACAAGGTATGTCCAAAACAGGCGAACTTTATAGCCATAAACCGTGGCTACAAGGTATGCCCAAAACAGGCGAACTTTATAGCCATAAACCGTGGCTACAAGGTATGCCAAAAACAGGCGAACTTTATAGCCATAAACCGTGGCTACAAGGTATGTCCAAAACAGGCGAACTTTATAGCCATAAACCGTGGCTACAAGGTATGCCCAAAACAGGCGAACTTTATAGCCATAAACCGTGGCTACAAGGTATGCCCAAAACAGGCGAACTTTATAGCCATAAACCGTGGCTACAAGGTATGTCCAAAACAGGCGAACTTTATAGCCATAAACCGTGGCTACAAGGTATGCCAAAAACAGGCGTACTTTATAGCCACAAACCGTGGCTAACAAGGCATGCCAAAAACAGGCGTACTTTATAACCATAAACCGTGGCTACAAGGTATGCCCAAAACAGGCGAACTTTATAATCATAAACCGTGGCTACAAGGTATGCCAAAAACAGGCGAACTTTATAACCATAAACCATGGTTTTAATTTGACCGGTATACTTCCTAGAGTAACACACTGTGTGCTATATTGCATTTTTATGTCCGAAAAAATTATACCGATATTATCGGTATACTACCCTGGGTGCCTGACGCTCGTAGGGGGGATAATGAGGGATACACGAGGATTCAAGCTGGGCGGCGAATCCTCGTGTATCCCTCATTATCCCCTACGAGCGTGGAAGAACCTCTGGCACCCAGGGGTATCGGTATACCGGTTTTCCTTTGATAATTATAAAGGAAAATTCTTTAATGGACGTTTGAAGGAAATTTTGAGTAATTCTAAAAGGGAAAACGATAATTTCGAAGCTGTTTCGAACATGTTTCGAACGACATGCACGTACTCAGTGTAAAATCTCACAGAAGTGGAAATTCTAAATCATTGCAGTAGAAAGTTCTTTGAATTGCCATTCAGTAGTAAAATAAAGGTTATGGTTTCGCCATATATAGTTGGTAAATTTAACACGGTATAGCGAAAAATTCCGGTATATCCGAAATTTCGGTAAATCGGTATGGTTGAATATCCGGTATCGATATACCGATATCGATTTAATACCGACATTTTCGGTATATCGGTATGGTTGAATATCTGGTATCGATATACCGATATTGATTTAATACCGATATTTTAATCAGTGGACGGTTCCGGCAATTCTAAAATTGAGAAAATTCTGAAAGTTGAATGTTAAATTTGCAGCAAATCTATCTTTCGACTCACATATTTCTTATCGATAACACAAAATTCCATATCCTTTTCGATGTCATAAATTATTTTTGAAAAATGTCTAAAAGCCCTACCTTATTTCTCATAAAAGAGTACCCTTTTTTGAGATTTGTGTGACAAGTGAATTGGTTTGTTTTAATTACCCTTTCACGTCGATCCAAGTTTCAACTTAAAAGCGAAAAAAAGGATTATCTAACGAATTTATACAAATCAAATCTCCATAAAAATAACTGAAAAGGGTACGATTATCGCTCAACTGCATCGTTTTGTAAAATGACGAAAAAGGGTACCCTTTTCGGTAAACCATGTTGTTTTGTAGTAAGGCGAAACAGAGTACCCTTTTCGGTCAACTATATGTTCTTTACATAGTAATATGAAAAAGGGTACCCTTTTCTGTAAAATATGATCTTTTATAATAAGACGAAAATGGGTACCCTTTTTTATTTAATCTGATGATACTCAATCGGATTAAAAATGGTCTGGAATTTTATCAACTGCGTTAACGCGTTAACGCACGTTAAAGCATAGCGTTTAACTTAAGTGTATATTTTCAAAAAGCAGTATAATTTATTCGCTTATCGTTAAATCAAAATGGCGGAGTACTTGGAGCAAAATATCGAAGATGTGAAAAACTATGTTCAAAAGAATTATACTTATCGACAGATCAGCGACATTTTAAAGCAGCATTTTCCTGAGGTTAGTCGAGGTTTCTCGGAGAGAAACATTCGGTTATTCTGTTTAAAGCGTGGAATAAGGAAAGTAGACAATTTTGAAGTGGACACCATTATTCAACAGTCTATCAGTGAGGTATTGTGTGCTGTAACTGATTATCACAAACAGATACGCATACGCATAGCGTTGGGCAATATTGCGAAGGCAAAAGAGCTTAACATTCATAATATTATAACCGAAACCGAGAAATAGCATAGCGAGCTAACGTAACTGGAAAGACTTATAATAATTATATATTATATTACGTTACGTTACTATATATATATATATATAATTTAATTTCTTAACTTAAAATATAGTCACAAGTTAAGAAATTAAGTCAAGTTTAAGTTAAGAAATTAAATTATTTGCTCTACGTTATTAAATGGTATTGAGCACTCTTTCTACACTGTAAATTTGATCATCTTTGGTCTCATTAATATTATATATATATATATATATATATATATATATATACATACATACATACATACATAAGTCTTTCCGGTAGCGTTAGCTTGCTATATACTAGACTATTATACTATTTCTCAATTTCAATAAATGATGAATATTAAACTCTTTTGCCTTTCGACAATATTACCCAACGCTATACGTATACATATCGATATCTATTTAAAATAATCAGTTACAGCACACAATACCTCACTGATAGACTGTTAATAATGATGTCCCCTTCAAAATTGTCCAGTTTCCTTATTCCATGCTTTGAACAGAATAACCGAATGTTTCTTTCCGAGAAACCTCGACTAACCCCAGGAAAATGCTGCTTTAAAATGTCGCTGATCTGCCGATAAGTATAATTCTTTTGAACATAGTTTTTCACATCTTCGATATTTTGCTCCAAGTACTCCGCCATTTTGATTTAACAATAAGCCAATAAATTATACTGCTTTTTGAATTGGTATACACTTAAATTAAACGCTATGCTTTAACGTGTGTTAACGAGTTAACGCAGTTGATAAAATTCCAGACCATTTTTAATCCGATTGAGTATCAACAGTTTAAATATAAAAGGGTACCCTTTTTCGTCTTATTATAAAAAATCATATTTTACAGAAAAGGGTACCCTTTTTCATATTACTATGTAAAGAACATAGTTGACCGAAAAGGGTACTCTGTTTCGTCTTACTACAAAACAACATGGTTTACCGAAAAGGGTACCCTTTTTCGTCGTTTTACAAAACGATGCAGTTGAGCGATAATCGTACCCTTTTCAGTTATTTTTATGGAGATTTGATTTGTATAAATTCGTTAGATAATCCTTTTTTTCGCTTTTAAGTTGAAACTTGGATCGACGTAAAAGGGTAATTAAAACAAACCAATTCACTTATCACTACCTTATTTCTCATAAAAGGGTACCCTTTTATGAGAAATAAGGTAGGGCTTTTGGACATTTTTCAAAAATAATTTATGACATCGAAAAGGATATGGAATTTTGTGTTATCTATAAGAAATATGTGAGTCGAAAGATAGATTTGCTGCAAATTTATCTTTCAACTTTCAGAATTTTCTCAATTTTATATAGAATTGCCGGAACCATCCACTGATTTATTTTCGGTATATCGGTATACCGAACAGTCCTAATATGCACTTGCATGTAGGGGTTGTTAATATACAGCCATATTTTCATATATACTCAGTGCTTTAACAAGAAAATTTACTGTACTCATGATGTGCAACTGATCGGTAATAGAAAACGTGAGAATGTAGAAAACAAGGTATATATAATATACAGTAATGTGCCCGCCATTTTGAAAAATGTTCAAATACAAACTGATTCACAATATTTTTAAACTTACTTCTTTTATACAGGCTTAGATAAGACCTTTCTCTTCTTGGCAGCAAAATCCAAAAATAAAATTTGCTGCGTTAGTCAAATATAAAACTTCCAGCTTATGTAGATTCCAGAGAATTAACAGTGAGGTATGCGGAAAACAGGAATACTTTACAGCCATAAACCGTGGCTATAAGGTTTCCGAAAACAGCCACAGGCGTACTTTATAGCCACAAACCCTGGCTATATAAAGGTATGCCGAAAGGTATAGCCATAAACCATGGTTTTAATTTGACCGGTAAACTTTGTAGTCATGCAGCCGTGATGTACCTGTTCCATAAAGTGCTTTAGTTTATACCTCTGGATACAGCTAAGGTATGAACTATATGCAATTTTATATACACAGCTAAAAACGCACAGGTTGTTCCAAGTTGATATCGACAGGCGTGAACAATGTTGTGCGGCCAACTATGAACAACTTGTCAACCATGTTAATGACAAAATCATTTGCATTTTCCTCCATTTTGTTCCAAGTCACATGAAGAAACCATGGTTTGTCATTGGCTAATTGATTCAAACAGCTCAGCACTTAGCTCACAAAATCCGCAGACGCCGAGTTTTTTTCCTCGCGAGGCGAAAAATATTAAACACGATAGATATTTTCCTCAAGGCCTCGAGAGGTCAAATCATAGATATCTTATTAGCAAGTGGGAACGACCAACATGGCCGCCATCTATTCAAATGGGGGTAACCGCTGGAATATTCTTTGCTTCAATTTTACTAAAAGAGATGCGCTATCTAGTGTATATAAGATATCTATGGGTCAAATCCTCACGAAAATTATCCGCACACGAAAGAAACTTGCCGAGCTAATCGCCTCGCGAGTTGCTCTCGTGTGCGGCGGGCTTTACAGTTGAACAATGCTGTAACAACATGTTGACAAACTGTTCATAGTGGGCCGCACAACCTTGTTCACGCCTGTTGATATCAACCTGCAACAAGTTGTTGGTTTTCTCAATTTTTACGCGTGTAGCCAAATGCTGCAAAAACCGTGGCTACAAGCCATGCTGAAAACCAGTGTACTTTATAAAAGCCACGTGGTTATATAACTGTTTATATGCATGATGTCGCGATCAACTATATTCTACGTCTATACTGTCAGCGCGTGTCGATTTCTTGAAACGATGTGATTGATTTGTCCTTACCTCATATATGTAAACATGTCGAGATTGTTATACAGCCAAATTTTCAAATAAACTGTACTTTAACAAGCAAATTTACTGTACTGTGCTACAGTAATGTCGAGTCACGCATACGTAATAAAAAGCAGATATAAACTTTATAAACAAAAGATAATGTAAAACGTAACAGAACGGCAAACATGCAGATTCGGCCAACTCGCATAATAGTAATGTTGGGATAGTAGCGTTGCAGACTGCAGAGGAGAGTGGGCAGTAAGCCTCCCTCATACAACCCCATGGAAAACCTGCACCCCTCCTTACAGATGGCTCAAAGAAAACAATATACTTGTGCACGAAACATAATAAGATACTTATGAATACGAACTTATTATTGATATAATGACAACAGAAACAATATTAAATTTACCCTTTATAAATAATTAACTAATAATAATAATATCCTTAAAAATTATTTTGAGCATGGTTCACGATTTCTTACAGACAATTTTATACGATAGTTTGGAATTCAGGCTACAATCTAGGGTGTTAGTCAGAAGTAAAAAAAAAATTACCTGAAATTGGGAAATATATTTTAGCCTGAAGCCGGGCATTTCTTTGTGGGTCTGGGGGCATGCGGTTGCCCCCTCTCGATTTTTAAAATTTTTGTGTCTTTGAAATGGCATTTCCCGCATTTTGGGAGTAATTTTGAGCAAATGTAGTTAGAAACATGTTTTTAATGGCGTATTAACAACATTGAATTTCTATAACTATTTTTTGGCTGACCCAAATTAGGAAATTGCGACCTCAACGTAATGGACTTTCCCCTTATAACTAAAATTTCGATCTAGACAAAAATTTCATCACAGCTTGAAAGAGCATCACAAAATTAGTAATATTCCAAAGTTTTGTTACAAAATCTTGTAAAATGCGGATAAAATAGCCTTGCGAAGTTTGCCGTTTTTCAGTCATTTTGTATTACAAACGGGAAATTGACATCCGATTCGGGTATGTTGGGGCTGCAATTTCCCGTTTGTAATGCAAAATGACTGAAAATTGCAAACTTCGCAAGGCTCTATTTTCCTCATTTTACAACATTTCGCAACGAAACTTTGGAATATTACTAATTTTGTGATGCTCTTTCAAGCTGTGATGAAATATTTGTCTAGACTTGCCTAGATCAAAATTTTGGTTATAAGGGGAAAGGTCTATTGGGAAAACCGCGTTTAACGCGGAATTTTTTACTGTAGCTAACACCCTGCAATCATTCACTTCATTAATGGAACAGCATCCAAATTGTGTCAACTCTCCCCTACCACCCCTGTTCAATGTTGCGCTGCTACACACGTAAAAACGCACAAGTTGTAACAAACTTGCAGCAGACGTATAGCAATGCTGTTCCAACAACTTGTCAACAGGATGTGTTCGCACTGCTTGTTCCCAGCTTGTTGACAAGTTGTCAACGACTTGTTAACAACTTGCTACAAAGTTGTTGATCACAACAGACTTGTTACAAGTTGTTCCAACAACTTGTTATCGTCCTGCAACTCGACAATTTGTCAACAAGTTGTGAGTGACAACCTTGTAGCAACTTGATAAAACAACAGCATTGTTACAACTTGTTGACAAGCTTGCTACAAGTCTGTTGCGAACACATCTTGTTGACAAGTTAAATTCAGTACTAAATATTTCTCTACAGGGTGTATAAAAAAAGGAGACCTTTAGAAATCAACCATATTGTTAAAATTTGAATGCCTTTTCAATTGCATATGTGCTGAACCGTAGTGCGTGAAATATTGATGGCGTGCATACGTTGTACAGGGTGTCTCAAAAAAACCCAAAATCATTGAAATTGACGTATTGTTCGATATTCAATGCCCTAGCACTAAGTTAATCCCACGAGTGCATAAAAGATTGACATAACTGCTATAATGAATGGTAATACTCAGCGTAAACTTGTTATGTCAGGCATAAAGTACTAAACCCACGAATGCATATTACGCATATTACAATTTACGAAGCATTTTTAAATTCCCATGAGCAAACAAACGTTCACTTTACAAAGATATTTTAATTTTTTAAAACAAATTAATCACCCTGTCAAAATCCTTTGTGTTACGGCATTGAAATTCGAACAATACGTTATTTCAATGATTTTGGTTTTTTTTGAGACACCCTGTATATTAGAAAAAGGAGACCTTTAGAAATTGAAATAACATTTAAACAAAAGATTGTCTGCT